CCTCATATGTTAAGCTTTTCATTCCTGGGACCATTCTCGTGAACCTCTTCTGAGCCCACTCCAGGGCCAATATATCTTTCCTAATATATGGGGCCCGAAACTGCACACAATGCTCCAAATGTGGCCTAGCCAGAGCTTTTTAGAGCCCCAGAAGTACTTTCCTGCTTTTATATTCAAGTCCTCTCAAAATAAATGCCAAAGTTGCATTTGCCTTCCTAATTATTGATTCAACCTGAAAGTTTACCTTAAGAGAATCCTGGACTAGAACTCCCAAGTCTCTTTGCATTTCAGACTTCTGAATTTTCTCCCCATTTAGAAATTAGTCCATGCTTTTATTCTTCTTACCAAAGTGCATGACCTCACACTTTCCCACGTTGTATTCCATCTGCCACTTCTTTGCCCAATCTCCTAACCTGTCCAAATCCTTCTGCAGCCTCCCCACCTTCACAATACTACCTGTCCCTCTCCCTGCCTTTGTATCGTCTGAAAACTTAGCCAGAATGCCCACAGGTCCTTCATCTAGATCATTCATGTATAAAGTGAAAAGTTGTGTCCCAACACTGACCCTTGCGGAACACCACTTGTCACTGGCTGCCATTCCTGAGAAAGACCCTTTTATCCCCACTCTCTGCTTTCTGCCAGAAAGCCAATCTGTCCGTGCTGGTGCCTTGCCTCTAACACCATGGGCCCTTATCTTACTCAGCAGCCTCCTGTGTGGCACCTTGTCAACGGCCTTCTGGAAGTCCAGGTGATAACACCCATTGGCTCTCTTTGGTCTAACCTGCTCATTACCCCCTCAAAGAATTCTAACAGATTTGTCAGGCATGACCTCCCCTTGATGAAACCATGCTGACTTTGCCCTACTTTACCATGCACTTCCAAATATTCAGAAATGTCAGCCTTCACAATGGATTCTAAAATCTTACCCATAACAGAGGCTGGGCTAATCGGCCTGTAATTTTCTGTCTTTTGCCTTACTCCCTTTTTAAACAGGGGTGTCATGTTAGTGATTTTCCAGTCCTCTGGGACCCTCCCTGACTCTAGCGATCCCTATAGTACAACATGAACCCAAGATCCCAGTTGAGGTCATCTTCATGGGGACCGAACTTGGCTATCAGCCTCTGCTCAGTGACTCTGCATTGTTGTGTATCCCAAAGTCCGCCAAAGTTTACCCGAAGATCCGAGGCCGAATGTCCTTGGCCGCTGAAGTGTTGTACTGCAGCACAGTGATCGCACGTTCACCTTGGAATTACAAGGTTGCATTGCCAAGCCCCAGTTTCAAGACTTGAGCCCGAAACTGAGGCCAACACACCAATACATCACTGAGGGAGTGTGCACCATATTTCAGATTAAATGTAAACTAAGGCACCTCTGTTTCAGGTGAGTGTACAAGATCTTGTCGCACAGCTGAAGAAAAAAACCCAGGATATTCCCTAGTGTTCTGGCCAATGTCTTCCCATTGACTAAACCTAGAAAATATTTATGTGGGTGTTATTTCATTGCTGCCTGAGGGAGTTTGCTGGATACAAATTAATTGGCAAGAATGGAGAGTGAGTGCAGTACACAGCTATCCATTCTGAAGATTGTGAAGTGTTTAGAATCTCTAGATGAAAGCTGCTATATAAATGCAGGTCGCCTCCTTCTCAACTCAAGACAGTGCCCTTCATTCTGCCTTCAGCCAAACTCTGGACTCTTGACAATCCCAATGTGGTTTACATGGCTAAAGTTTCTAATCCCACTCTCTCTAGTTACATGGCATTGCTTTGAATGTCCTCTGCCACTGTCATCCTGTTCATATCTTTATACAGGTGAATTTCATCACAGTCTATCAGTCCCTGCATTGGGACACCTAAAGGAAGGGGGTGAGAGCAGGCAGCCTTTGGAATTTAAGCTCAATGGCCCTTTCCTGAGTCGAAGCTGCTCAATCCCAGGTCCGTCTGCCAAAAGCAGCTCACCAAAACAGGAGTTTCTGAGGTGAGCTCATATCTTTCGTACTTTTTGTGATTGTACAGCTGTGCCTGTCTCAAAGCTTCCCCCTCGTGACCCCCACCCCAGTTTATAAAATCATAGAATCTCTACAGTGTAGAAGTAGGCCATTTGGCCCATTGAGTCCACACTGCCCCTCTAAACAGCATCCCACCCAAACCCATACATCCTGAGACACTATGGGTAATTAAATATGGCCAATCCACCCTAGCCTGCACACCTTTGGACTGTGGGAGGAAACCAGAGCACCCAGAGGAAACCCACACAGACACAGGGAGAACATGCAAACTCCACACAGACAGTCACCCGAGGGTGGAATCGAGCCCAGATCCCTGGCACTGTGAGGCAGCAGTGCTGACCACTGAGCCACTGCACTGCCCTTTGCGGCTTGAGAATTGTCAGGAGCCATCCATGAGGACTGAGGGAGTGTGGGTAAACTTCCTCTAACTGGGCCAGAGCTCCCATTGCTGCCTCAGAGGTGGAGTTTGAGATCCAATCCCCCTTGGGGTCCCACCTTCCAATTTTGTTGTTTTGTAGCTGTCACGCTGCCAGAGTGAGGTTCCTCGGTGTTTGATGAGAGTGTTTTCACTGATCTTTGTGTCTTCCTGCTCCCAGTGTGCTTGAGGAACAAGTGGATGATTTTAGTGCCCCATCTTCACCTGAAGAAAATGCTGGACTGTTCCTCCTGAAGAAAGACAGTGAGCGCAGAGATGCGCTGTTCAAAATCCTGACAGAGAACTGTGAAACTGTGGTCCAGACCATTCTAGAAGCGCAGGCACAGGTATGAAAACTCTCATTCCTGACAGGTTATACACACTGGGCTGGGATGGGCAGATAAAAGCTCATCCATCTGTTTTTCCACAGCTGCTGCTGGATCTGCTCAGTACTTCCAGCATGTTTTGTCGGATTTGCAGCATCTGCAGTTATTTTGTTTTTGCTTTGACCTGGGAAGGCCAGGTTTCTCAGTTTTGTTTTGAACCACACTAAGGCTCAGTATCGGGGGTGTCAGGTGGCACCATGGGTGGAATTTCTGCCTCAACATCAAAAGCTCTGGGTTTGAGGCCTACTTCAGGACTGGTTGACCAATAAGGCAGCTAAGCAACCTCAGCATCGCCTGTAACTCTCTCCGATACAGCCGGAGTGGGATTGTCTCAGCTCTCTCTGATATCCAGTGCTGACCCTCCACCTACAGTCTCTGGTGACAGACTGGAGATCTGGATCTGGCCAAACTAACTATTGGAACAGAACGTGTCTGCCTGTTACGCCACAAGGTGTGAGGGCAGAGACAAAGGGGAGGAAGTGCAGTGAGTGTTTTTAATCATTCACGGGGTGTGAGCTTCACTTTTATTGCCCATCTCAGGTTCATAGTTTCTTGAAAGCAGAGTCGCAGGTAGGCAGGACAGTGAAGAAGGCATTTGGTACGCTTGCCATTTTTGGTCAGTGCATTGAGTATAGGAGGTGGAAGGTCAGCTGTACAGGACATTGGTTAGGCCACTTTTGGAATACTGCGTTCAATTCTGGTCTCCCTGCTGCAGGAAAGATGTTGTGAAACTTGAAAGGGTTTAGAAAAGATTTTCAAGGATATTGCCAGGGTTGAAGGGTTTGAGCTGTAGGGAGAGACTGAATAGACTGGGGCTATTTTCCCTGGGGTGTCAGAGGCTGTGGGGTGACCTCATAGAATTTTATCAAATCATGAGGGGCATGGATAGGGTGAATAGCCGTGGTCTTTTCCCCAGAGTAGGGGAGTCCACAACCAGATGGCATAGGTTTAAGGTGAGAGGAGAAAGATTTAAAAGGGAGCTAAGGGGCAACTTTTTCATGCAGAGTGTGGTATGTGTATGGGACGAGCTGCCAGAGGAAGTGGTGGAGACTGGCACAATTACAACATTTAAAAGGTATCTGGATGGGTATATGAATTGGAAGGGTTTAGAGGGATATGGGCCAAATGCTGGCAAATGGGACTGGATTAATTTAGGATATCTGGTTGGCATTGGACGAGTTGGTCTGTTTCTGTGCTGTACGACTCTATGGCTCTCTGATATATTTCCAAGTCAGAATCATGCCTGGAACTTGCAGCTGATGGTGTGCCCTTGTGTCTGCTGCCCTTATTCTTCGAGATGGAAGTGATTGTGGGTTTGGAAGTTGGTGTTGAAGGAACCTTGGTGAATTTCTGCAGTGCATCTTGAAGACGGGACAAGACGGTAGACCATGTAGATACAGAGTGAACAGTAAAATATGTTCCTCGGTTCAAAACTGCTTCTCCATTGTGTTCAACTATTTGGTAAATTTTTAGCTTTTGTAATAGAGAAGTGAACACTTTCCATTTTCTAACACCCATATCCTATTACAAATAAAGTCATAGTCTTTCTTGAGACTGTTGCAGACTTGCAGTCAGTTTAATACAATAGGGTGGGTAGTGATGGCCAATTTGCTCCATGTAGTTTGCTAACACGGGGGGCTTTCTTATCTCAATGCTAGTGTAATCTGCTGCATCGCCTGATTGGTCCTGTGCTAGAACCCCCTGCAGGTAATTGAGTAACTGTTGACCCCAGTCTGTGTTTCTGGGTTCCAGTTCTCTTTAGCTGTTCTTGCCCTTAGAGACCCCTCCCCGCCCACCCCCATGTACATTATTCCTTTTCTCAGTACCCCCCCTTCTTGTTTTCAGTCGGGAGGTATTCTGAATGCCAGGCTTCAGAGTTGTTGGTCTTTACCTGGCTGATGTTTCTCACACGCTCGCCTCTGCTGTGGGGTTTGGGAGATGGATGGTTTAAAACCTGTGTTTGTTTGACTTGGGCAAGTGACCAGGCACAAGTCTGTATGGACCTGACCTTCGTATGGCACCTTTGGGGTCTGCCAAGCAAAGGGCTGGGAATCGTGCCAGCTACATCTCATAATTCACCAGTGCCAACTGTCTGTTCGAGGGCCCGTCCACTTCCTCACGTGAATGAGAAAGATCCTGCGGTATTGTGTCCTATTTATCCCTCAGCCAACATCAATGAATTGGTTCAATCTGTCATTTCCCTACTGTTTGTAGGTGGGAGTTTGCTGCATGTATATTGGCTGGCCCTACCTCCCACACTTCAACAGTAATTACAGTTCAGTTGGCAGTGCAGTTCATTAGGACATCCCAGGGTGCTAGGTAAATGCACATCAGGTTTTTAATGTAGAGCATAGTGGGATGAGGCTGATTCTTTCTCTTCGGGGGGAGGAAGGAAGGTGACCCTGAGCCTTTCAGCTCCCCCAAGCCCTGCTGCCCAATGACAGGGTCAATGGAATATGAGATGGTCATGTGTCAACTCCTTCTTCCTGGATGAGTAATGTCCGAGCTGCCTGGCCATTCCTATGTTACTCATGTATTTGATTCCTCCCTCCCGTCAAAACAGAACTCTGACTCCAAGTTAACATCTGAACACATCCGGCAACTGGTGACCTGCCTGACAGAATACATTCGAACTTCGGACCACAAGCTGATTGTCAAGGTCTTGTCGAACCTGCAGACAGAGCTACACTTTGACAAAGGAGGGCTCAACGAAATCCAGATTGTCATCTTCAGCTTCCAAGATGCTGTGAGTGTGAAGTCAGGTAGTCACATGGAGAGAGGCGGAGCATTTCACTTGTTGACTCCCCTCACATCCCCAAGCCAACTTCATTTCAAAATAAATTGTAAGTGGGCCAGTAAACAAATGCTTCAAGTATTGTGACTGTGGGGCCCTTGTGCAATTGGGCCCCTGTGAGACTGGGCCCCCTGTGAGACTGGGCCCCCTGTGAGACT